TTTTTTGAGACAGAGTTTCTTTTTGTTGCCCAGTCGGGAGTGCAGTGGTAGATCATAGCTCACTGCAGCCTCAAAACTCCTGGGGTCAGGTGATCCTCCTGCCTCAGAATCAGCTTCCAGAGTTGGTGGGACTACAGGAGCTCATCACCACACTCTTAAAATTTTTTTAAAATTTTTTATAGAGATGCAATCTTTCTTTGTTGCCCAGGCTGGTCTCTAATTCCTGGCCTCAAGCAGTCCTCCTGCCTTGGTCTCCCAAAGTGTTGGGATTACAGGTGTGAGCCACCTCACCTACCCTCAAGTATCAATTGTTTGTATAATTTTAAAACTGTGAAAGCTAACGTTTTAGTTATAATAGAAGTAGGCGGTAATCGATACCACTTTCTTTTGTAGGGATAACTTTTTGTTGCAGGAGCTACACAGTATATTCTTATTTTAATGTATTAACATTTGATACTCTTTTAAGTACTTTTTGCAAAATATTTGAGTGTTTAAGGGCTTTCTAAAGAGAACAGTATTGTAAAAAATATAGACTCTGGATCCAGGTTGCCTGGGTTCAAATCCTGACTGCTATTTAGTGGCTCTGTGACCTGAGCAAGTCATTTAATCTCTCTTTGCCTTAGTTTCCTCTTTGTAAATGAGCATAATGATGTTACCCACCTCGTAGGATTATTGCAGAGACTAAGTAAATTCATATGTGTAAATACCTAGAACAATGTTTGGCACATGGTAGCTGCTCTGTAATTGTTAGCTTGTATTATTACTGTTATTGACTAATTAGCTTAGTTTAAATTCTAATATAAATTCAGAGTGTCACGTTTCTAGATTAATCATAGTTGTAAATGAATTTCTAATACATCTCTCTGTAGATTTCTTTCATGATAAATTTTTGTATGAGGGAGAAAAGAATAAAGGTCAGCTTGCTTTGTGTGAAGTGACTTTGTCCTTCCACGCATTTTATACACTCAGTGCCTGCTGTATTTGAATATGCACATGTTTTAACATGTGCTATAAGAGTAATCATCTCCAAACATAATGCAGAGTCAATGCTGGACTTCTTTTAGTCAGCGAGTTACTAATGGATACTTAGCTAATATGTTCTTAGTATTTAGAATCACAGAAATGTAAAGCTAGAGTATTTGACAACTGGTTGCAACATGACATCAGTTAATTGGTATAGTATGTGTTTAAAAAAAAAAAAAAAGTTTTGGCTTTTCCTGACTGTGGATCCTGCACATTGTGATACTGTGGGCCATGAAGCACTTTGAACCACAGATTCTGTGAGAATGACCTAAGAAATGGGGAAATAACCTTTTAATAATGGAAGAAAGAAGCATTGTGTGTTAACAATGAGGTGTCAGAGGAAAGAGGTTATTCAAAATTTTGGAACCTAGACCACCAGGAAGACCACTGTATGTAAAGCGCAAAGGTCTATCGTGCTACCCTCCGTGTATACCATGGTTTTTAATTCTTGGTCTTATGTTTTCTTATAATTTTGAATCTCATGTGGCTTGAACAACATTCCTTACAAAGTTTTCTTAAATTTTAACAGTGGGATTCAGACTATTCAGTTGGCTTTTCAGGCTGATGAATTGTCTTTTTGATACTTTTCAGCTACTTGGTATAGCTGAAAAGCATGCTTAGACATCACTTTTTTTAGGAAAAGGTAAACTGAATATCATTGGAATTAGAATTTCAGTTTTACTGAAAGAAGTAGATAATTTTACTTGCATGTAAAATTACTGGTGAAAATACAGGTAATGTCATTAAAATTGAGAACATAAACTGCAGTTTTGGGTAAAATATTGGTGAAAACTCAACATATTTTGGTTTTAGGTAATGAGATTTTCAGACTCTATTTTTTTCTGATTTTTAAGCATACACTTTTTCTATAGACAGAAATATTTATTCTGGTAGTACCTATTTATGTATTTAGTGAGCTTTTATAGAGCATTGCTCTCTGGAAATGCTAGTGGGTTACTAATTGGTACCTTACTTTCTTAGGAGAGTTACTTTGGTCACATGAGTGACTGGTTTATATTGCAAAGAATAGTTCTGAATTGTTACTTACATTTAAGTTCTATTTCCATTATTTAGTTTGCTCTGTACTAGATGCTAAGATAGCATAGGTATACTTTTTTAAAATTTTCTTTTTCCTCCTGTGATTTTATAAGGGAAACATTTTGCCTGAACAAAGCAGTTATAAAATGTGTAGCATGAATAGCTTAATCAATTATTAAATAAATAATTTAAAACACATTTAAAACCTTCAAATCTGAAACTTGTAAAATGCAATAAAAGGTCTTATAGTAATGATCAGTAATGTTGAGGTTGTACATTTTATATTAAAAACTATGCAGATATTTTCATTGATCAAGCTTCTTTAGTAAATTTCATTCTGTTGCAACTGAGAATTTTTGCAAAGATGAAAGCTAGCAATTTCGTTTTGCCTTTAGAATGTTTTCTTTTACAGTATGCACACAACATGTGTTGATGGTGCAAGGTTTTGGCCTGCTGATTGGAAAGCACATGAATGTGTATTAAGAAAAACCTGAATACAGTATTTTTCTCCAATTTTTTGATTGTTAGAAATTCTTTTTTTGTGAAATAGGATTGTTTAGCTTTTTCATAAGATTAAAAAAATTATTGTGAAGCATGATTGATGCTGTTTCATGTAAAACATGTTCACATATATAAAGATGTACACATATGAAGAGGAAATTCCTTACTTTGTATTTTTTAAAAATAAATACTTTTTTAAAAAGTAATTCAAAGTAAATGAAAGGATTGCCCCCAAAAGTACTTCAAAGTAGATGAACGGATTGCCTCCAAAAGTAATTGAAAGTGAATGAAAGGATTGCTTTGGGGTTCATCTCTAGTTAAACCATTTTTATGGCCTACAACATATTTCTGACCCATATTTCTTAAATATTTTTGCACTGAACTGAGACTAAACTATAAACATACATGTTCCTAATTACTCATTGACATAGTTATGCCATTTGTAGAAGATTTGGAAAAGAATTCTTAGAACACTTTGAAAACAATCTCATTAATCCTTATTCTTATATGGTAGATATATAGTAAGTATCCCAATATCATAAAAATGGAAGCACTTAAACATTAAGTGATTGGCTCAAGGTTACCCAGCGGGGAGATGATTTTATATATTTGTATTTTAAAAAATTATTTGTTTTAACTTACAAATAATTGTAGATATTAATGGGGTACAATGTGATGTTTCGATTTATGTATACATTGTAGAGAGAGTCAGTCAAGCAAGTTAACATATGTATTCCCTCACCAAGTTAGCATTTTTTGAGGTGAGGATGCTAAAAATCTCTTAGCAATTTCAAAATATGCAATACATTAACTGTAGTCACCAAGTGGAGCATTAAAACTTACTCCTCCTGCCCAACTGAAACTTCATATCCTTGGATGATATCCCCATTACCCCGCTCTCCCCTGAGCCTCTGGTAACTACTTTTCTGTTCTCTGTTTCTGTGAGAATGACTTTTAGATTCCACGTATAATTGATATCATACAGTATTTGACTTCCTGTGCTTGGTTTATTTCACTGAGCATAGTATCTTTCAGTTCCATTCATAGTGTCTCAAATGACATAATTTCCTTCTTTTTTTAAGGTTCTGTCATATTCCATTGTGTATGTATAGCACATTTTCCTGATTCATTAATCTCTTTATGGAAACTTAGGGTTGCTTGGCTATTGTGAATAATGCTGAAATGAACATGGGAGTGCAGATATCTCTGATGTACTGATTTCAGTTCCTTTGGATATGTACTCTGAAGTGGGATTGCCAATTCTATTTTTAGTGTTTTTGAGGAAACTTACATGGTTTTCTAAAATGACTGTATGAATTTACATTCCTACCAATAGTGTGCAAGAGTTCCCTTTTTTCCACATCCTCTCCAACACTTATCATTTGTCTTTTTTGATAATAGCCATTCTAACAGGTGTAGGTTGATATCTCATTTTGGTTTTAATTTGAATTTCCCCTATGATTTGAGAAGCTGAGCATTTTTTTCCTATATCTGCTGGCCATTTGTATCTTTCCTTTTGAGAAATAACTTCAGATTCTTTGCCCGTTTTAAAAATGGAGTTGTTTTCTTGCTGTTATTTGAGTACCTTATATATTTTGAATATTGGCCCCTTATCAGAGGCATCGTTTGCAGTTGTTTTCTCCCAGTCCTCAGGTTGACTCTACACTCTGTTCATTATTTCCTTTGTTGTGCAGAAGCATTTTAGTTTGACGCAATCCTATGTGGCTATTTTTGCTTTCCTTGCCGGTGCTTTTGCAGTCTTATCCAAGAAATCATTGCCCAGATCAATATTGCACATCTTTTTGCAGAGAGAGGATTACAAGTTTCCTGATTCCCCATTAATCTCTCCAAACACGAAACTCTTCAGTAGGGGAGTAGCATTACAAAGAAGACATCACTATAATTTATCTTTTACAAATGAAAGGTGCAGAGACCTTTTTTTGCCAATTTGTGGACCTCTTACTTCGTTTTTCTTTCATTCTTTCTTCCCTTCTTTCCGGTGTTGGTAAG